GATAGAATATTTCTTTTGGTGTATTTTTGATGCTTATTATAATCCTCGTTATTTATAATATACACCAAGACATCTTTTTGAGTTAACCATGTGAGACCAAAGGTCTTAGCATATTGATCAGAGGAAAAATCTAGAACACCACAAGGTTGATTAACCTGCATGTGTTGAAAAATAATTGGTTGATTAGAAGCCCATCTTTGCAGTTCAAAACATCTGAGTTTTAAAGTTTTAGAAATATCATGACAAATTCGCGTGGTATCTTTAATTGTATCGGCTCCGGTGAGCAAATCATCTACGTAAAAGTCTTCTCTGATGAGTCTTGCGATCTCAGGATAGTCTTTTGCGCTTTCATAGGCTAATGAAAATAAGCAACGTATGGCCAAAAAACTAGCTGCGGCCTGGCCATAGGTGACCGTATTTAATGTGTATTCAGAGAGTGGTTTTCTACAAAGAATCTTTTGCAGACTCCTTTGGTTAGGACCTATTTCAACTTGCCTGTACATTTTAGCGATATCAGATAATAAAAATTTGTTTTCGAAAACGTAATAATATTGTATATAGATCATTTTGTATGGTGGGTCCAACATATTGAATATCGTTAAGAGAGACGCCACTCTCTGGAGGCGCAGATGCACCAAACACCACGCGCAGTTTTGTGGTCAAACTTTCCTCTTTAAGCACTCCATGATGAGGCATATAATATTTAGGTTTATTTTGATTACCTTTACCTAGTGATAGTGACATATGTCCTAAGGATTTATATTTTTTCATGAAACAGGTATACATCGTGCGCAGTTGTTCATTCTCTCGAGATTATAGAATCTTTTTTATTCTATTGATTTAGATTCGCCCAAACTATTGGTACTACTTTTAAGAGGTAATTGCACTATGAATTTACCGTTTGCTTTTCGTTTAGTTGTATTGAAAAATATTTTTTTACATTTAATTTCATCTGGTGATAGTAATTTAGATGAAGGTAACTTTTCTAGCTTCCAAAATTTTAATAAAATATTGGATAAATCTCTATGGACTATAAAAAGGTTACAAATAGCTCTTTTTTGCTTATGATATCCTACTGGTTCCGAAACTAGCAAACCTAGTTCAGAATTTTGTAAAGTTGGAAGATATTTCCCTAAGCTAATATTTTCTGACTTTAATATTTTCCAAAATAAATCGGCACCTAATAGTATGTCAATGGGTGCGGAAATAATAATTTGTATATCAGCTAAGGATAATTCTTTGGGAATGTTAAGTTTGTTTAAAGTTATTGTAAATTGCGGCATGTCACTAATTATTTTAGGCAAAATAAAGTAAGTAATATTCGCAATAAAATCAGAATTAGCCGGTTTTATTTGTATGTGACATTTTTTATTGACTTCATTTATATTGCAAGTTATACCAAAAAGCGTTAAATTTGCGTTTTTCTCAAGAAGACCTAACCTATTTGAAGCCTTTTCAGAAATGAACGATGTTTGAGATCCGCAGTTTAGCAGAGCGCGAATCTTTTGATATTTACCAAGGCAATTTTTTACCAAAATAATAGCAGTTAACAAGAGAACTTGTGAATTAGTAGGAATTGAAACACAACTATTTAATAGCGTAGAAGTCTGATCAGTTTGCTCTTGAGTCGACTCTGTGTCAGATTGACTTGATTTTGATTGAACTTTGTGCAATAAAGTATTGTGCCTAGAGTTACAGTTTTTACATGACCCTGCTCGGCATTTAGAAATGGGATGTCCTTCTTGTAGGCAAATTTTGCATAAATTAGTTTTGCCTATAAAATTGAATCTATCGGTAACGGACAACTTAAGAAAAAATTTGCATGTATATATGGAATGATCCTTCTTGCAATAACCGCAGGTATGACTTGATAATACAAAGGATCATGCCACTTCTCTTTTGACAAATTTATTGTCAATTTTAGATATGGGAGTTGCAGGCTTTTGCGAATTTGGTTTAAATTTAAAACTTTGTAAGAGACTAGCACGATTCTCTAAAAATTTTAAAAATCCGTTTATTTCCTGACACGAAGTAGAATCGCGAGTGAGTCTTTCCCATTCACATATATTGGCGTTATTTAATTTAGAACTAACCCAAAAAATTAATAATGGGTCCCAATTCAAAATGGACTAGCCTAATTGTTCTATAGCACCCAATTGCTTGATTAAGTTATCCACTAAGGATTGCAAATTTTCGGATGTAGCCCCATGTATTGAATCTATAGAAAACAAAGTTTTGATATGTTCAAAAACAAGTTTTTTCTTATTGTCGTATCGATTGTATAGAGTTTTCTAAGCTACGCAATTATTTGCCAAAGTGTATTTAATACTACAGATAACATTCTTTGCCTTGCCTTCTAGCGCATCCCTAAGGTAATAAAATTTTTGAATGTCTGACATTTGATTTCAAGAATGAATAAGACACTCAAAGGTGTCCTTGAACTCCTACCAATTTTCATATGTGCCATCAAATTTTGGCAAAACTATATCTGGTAGTTTTAGATCTGGGGCTGATGACGAATGAGAATCGTTGCAACTGCCAATTGGAATACTAGTATTAGTACTACCAGCATCTTGATTATAATCCTTTATTATAGTTTAAGCTAACGATGTAAAAGCATAAAATTTATCTATAAAATTTACCTTTTCTCCTAGCTGCTCCTCCGAATTATCAATAGCTTTAATTTCATATTGAATTTCATTAAATTGTGTTAATAAATTTTGTGAATGTTCAAGTTGATCTTGAATAGAAATAACATCGGTTGAATTTATAGATGGCAAACCTTTAACGTTATTTAGAAAATTTCTTAAAATAGTTAAGGATGATTTTATAAAACTTCTTTTTCTTTTTAATTTTGCAAGTTCTGCCATGAGCAATTATCAGCTATTTATTGAAAATTTGTAATAGAGGAGTAAAAAAGATTGAAGCGTGCTTATAGATAGGCTGTGGAAAAGGGTTATAGGAACGACTTACCTCATTATGGTTTACCGAATCTTTGTACGTCTTCTATATTATCTAACTGTTTAATATCCGGGAGAAGGTCCAATGTTGATTGAAGAGCATTCACTGTGGACTGAATAACTATGATATGAACATAAAAACACAACAAGTATTAGAAATTAAAAATTAAAAAAAACCGACTTCAAAAACGTGCAGATGCTGTCACCACATCTTAACCAAATTTATATGGGACCACCCCTGAGGTACCCCCTTACTAACAAAAAAAGAATCGTATAAATCGGACAAGGAGGTAAAGCATTATCGCTAAACATACATAAAAAATGAAGAGTTTGAGGATTTTCTCATGGATCCAATTATTAGATTTTAACCAAATTTATATGGGACCACCCCTAAAGTAGCCCCTTTCTAACAAAAATAGAATTATTGAAATCAGACACCGTGTGAAAAAATTATCGCTGAACATACATAAAAAATTAAGAGTTTGAGGATTTTCTGATGGACCCAATTATTAAATTTTGACTAAATTTATATGGGACCACCCCTAAAATACCCCCTTTCTAACAAAAAAAGAATCATTAAAATCGGACACCGTGTTAAAGAATAATCGCTGAACATACATAAAAAAAAAATATCGCAACGAATTGATAACCTCCTCCTTTTTTGAAGTCGGTTAAAAAGTGATTGTAAAGCGTGTTTCAAAATTATATTAATTATTTTAAGTGTCACTTCAAAAACCTCCGGAAATCAATCCTTCTTAGACGGCATAGGCGTAGACACAATCATATATTATCGAATTTAATAAAAGGCATTTAAAGTTTTTATGTAATATATTACAAAAATTTTCGCATATGTTGGGATTTTCAAAAAAAAACATATGATAAACAGTATCTGTCGATACGTATTCTTTTATAAATCTTACCACATCATTTTCGAAATTATACTCAAAAATTTGTACATGGATTCGTTTTTGGTTTGGAGAATGTAGTACCGAATTTACAAAAATTTGATTTTTTTCGTGATTAACAGGACATTCTGCAATTGAAATTCCTACGATAGGGTTTTCGTCAGAATTTGAGTTGAGCGTTGTCGTCTTTATCTTGGGGTTCTAAATCATTTAGAGTATCAGTGTCAGGATGTACTTGTAAGGATGCCTGGTCAAAGTTCGAATAATGAGACTCAATATTTCTCAAGTCTTGAATAATCTCGTCAAGTCTAGAATATTCTTGTGATCTATCTGAAATTATTTTGTCTATGTCGTCAAGAAATTCTTTAGTATGAATCTCTACTCTGGAAAAAGCTTTCGCATTTCAATTTAATTTGCCCGTTTTATATAGTATTTTATAGTCATATTCGTCTAGTTTTATTTTCCAGTGTAACAATTTGGAGTTGGCGTCTTTTAACGAAAATAACCATTGTAGTGGTTTGTGGTCCGTGATAATACTAATTTTTTTTTCAAATAAGTATGAGCGAAAATATTTCGTAGCTAATACTATTGTCAAAAGTTTCCTCTCGATTACGGAATAATTTTGTTCTGACATATTTAATGTTCGCGACGCATACGCAACTGGAAGGTCTCCGATCGGTTTCGGAGATAAAACCGCTCCTAAACTAACATTACTGGCATCAGAGGTTAAATTGAATGGCTTGGAGAAATGCGGGTATTGTAAAATAGGTTCATTTTACAACAGGTTTTTACAATATTCAAAGTAAAATGTGAGGCTATGAGTGCAATAGTGGACTAACTCCAAATGGACTTAATGCTAAAAGTTCAATTATTAAAAAATGTTTAAACTTTTCGATTTAAATTAGAAATATTTTAAATATGTTTTACGGTGTAACTTAATTTTTTTTAAAATATAAATCAGTATAACTTCATAAAACACACTTTAGTGGGTTAGTCCATTTTTTCTTTAAGCAAGTAAATGAATTTATTAAGGTTGGGCAATTTTCATTAACTATATTTTATTATTATTCAAAAGGTTTGGTATAAATAAATCAATTGGTAATAGATTAAACACATCAAAACAGATGAAAGAGTTCTAGTCTTCTTCTTCTTCTTCTTCTTCTTCTTCTTCTTCTTCTTCTTCTTCTTCTTCTTCTTCTTCTTCTTCTTCTTCTTCAGGATAATCTGGCATTTCTCCACCAGTTCCTTAAGCTGCAGACCGAATATTTTCATAAGAACCATGATACACTGGGGGAATAAATTCTTTTAGCTGAAGGAATTTTTTTTTTGTATCGGTAATAACATAACTGTTAGGGTATAATAAGGCAAGTTTTGGAGCCTGTAATACTAATTTTCGCTTACTTATATCAACGGTTTCAAAGAGAACATCGTTGTTATTAGAGTACTTAAACTGTATATTAAATGGGCAGTGATTCTGAAAGCGTAGCCATTGAATTTTCAGCCATTCCACTTTTACTTTATCTTTGGAAATTTTCCTATTGGTGATGTTATTCTCCGAATATTTTGTAGAAAAAATATCGAAACTTTTCATTTCTACCAATTTAAATGAATTTTTTTTTCTGGCATTTATTATTACCTTATTCCAGTCTCCAGGAATCAAAATATTCGGATAAAATTTCTTTTCCTTCTTAATAACTCTAAAATCTTGATCGCAGGGTAAGTATGAATGGCCACTAACTAAAAACTTATGATCTATTTGATCAACTTCAAATTCTGGTGATGAAACTATGTAATCCACAGCACAGACATTTTTATATTTCGATTCTGACCTCCACATTGGTCAGAATACATGATAATTTTTTTTGTAGTGACAAAATTTTTAATGTAATATAGGAGACAAGATCCAATCTCTTGAGGACCTCTCGAAACCACCGATTCATTCCATACAAACGTATGAATTATTATTTGCCATGTTATGAACCGAAAAGCAGTCCAGAGCTGCCTCTTATAATAACAGATCCCTGTTGTTAGAACAGGTGTTGACAAGGTTTTCATGAGGTCAAAGCATATAACTGTAACGTCTTCTTTTTATAAATCAGTGTCTTTTTTCAAGCCATTCCTTGCTCTTTCAGCCTTTCTTTGGTGTTCAACGTTCAACTTCAAGTTCCCTTTTTTCACTTCATCAACTGTTGATTTAATTTTGATATTAAAAAGATCACATTTCTTGCATGAATCTGATATAGGGGGATGGAAATGTAAGTTAAACCCTTATTGAAGAGTTCTCTAAAAACAAAATAAGAAACATGGCTGTTTGATTCATTTTTGTACAGACTATACATTTTGCCAAGACTCAAATCTGGTGCAAGGTATTTCCTATGATTGCTTTTCGGTCTACCGTAATGAGATTCGTAACTTGGAAACTTCTTAATGAACTCTCTAACTTTGTTTTTCTGTACCTCGCTTGTTTTATTGTCTGGTAGATGTTTTCCCCTTTTTTCGCATGGAGATGGTAAACCGATTGATTTATATTTTAGTAGCCTATCCAGTCTTCCAGCTGAAACTTGAAACACAGCTTGCAAAAATGATTTACAGACCTTTCTTTCTTCTCCAGTGGCATCAGGTATATAGTAGATTCTTGTTTTATCTCTCTTAGAGTTTTCGTTCTCAGTATACTTTCGTAGTTTGTTTACAACCTTAACTAATGAAAATAGATGAGAAGTTTGTAGATCAAAACTTTGTAAAGCAAAAAAGTTCCCTTTTTCGTTCTTCAGGTAGTAAAACATGACATTTATTTTTACAGGCACAAGCAAAAGGTAGAAGAGGTTTTGTAGGCACCGTTTTTTCAGATTTTGTAGTATATTCTTCTCCGGCACATCTTTTCCTTTTATTTGCAGCTCGTTTCCAATTCTGCTCATGACAAATACGCTTTTTTGGCTTAAATTCCCTTGTTTCTTCCTCTTGTATTTCCTCACTACTTGTTCCTATTGTCTCATTTACTTCACCTTCTTCTTCTGATGGAACAAATTCTGATCATGAATCTTTATAAGGATCGAACTGATCTGAGTCTAACATACCTGGAAATGGAAAAACCTCTATTACATATCTGATTATCAAAACCATCTGCATTTAAGTTGATGCATCAGTTGTTTCATCAGCCTGTATGGCGATATACTTAGCAGCCTAATTATCTTTTTTTATTAGACAAACGTGTAAAATTGAATAGAGCAATTCATTTTGAATGGTTTTTGATGTACCTTGAAACAATTTGTTTTTGTGTTATTTAAGGGCGGGCGTGGGCAATGTATTTAACATAGGCATACACAACGCTCTTTCAATGACTTTTTACTGAAACTACAACAAAGAGAAAAGTAAAAAAATTTCTGCCGATAATCGATATATACTACAGTTCAATAAAGGTTTTTGGTGTCTCTAACTATTAGGGATCGTTTAAAAATAATTCCCAAAATATGGTAATTTTTACGATGAAATAAAGCTAAAAATATACCAGTAATAATTACCCGATGATGAAAATAATTCTTCTTTGAATAGGCTATATATTAAAGCAACAAATGTCACTTAAAATATCTAAATTAATTGCGTCAATTTCCTTAAAAGCTCATTGAAGTAAATTTTGGAAGAAATTATAAATCGCCATTTATGTGTAACAAATACCTAGAATATAAAAGAAAACTTCCTAAAACTACATACGAGTAGACAGAGGTTAATTCGGAGCTTCTCTAATAGATGGCGCTAAATTCGTTTTAAAGATAAATTCAAATACGCAGGTCCTTATTTAGGAGTTTACTAATATGCATATCATTTCAATTATTAAGTTGATTTGTATTCGATTTTTTTAATTTTGTAAGAATTAAACATATTCATGAAGGATATGTAAGTTAATGAGAGAAAGCCTCAACTGTATACTTGGAGACATTGATTTTACGTTTTGTGGTCCGGAAAATGACTGTACGGAGGTGGTAAAATTTTAGAAAAACGACTAAACGGCCTCTTAGCAAAAATCGATTGCTTGCTTATTCTATTGGATACTGGAGCCTAGGTGTTAATGGTACCTTTAGTTGTTTTATAAAATTTAATATTTCAAATATTCGTACAAATCTAATATGCCTAAATGTAGTTTTTTTCAAATTAGGTTTTAACTTTCATGTATCCAGAAAGGTATAGGATTGTTTTTTTTTTTGTTTTTTTTTTCGACTTCTAGTTTTCAACTGTACTTTAGGTTTTGACGATAATTCAAAAATGAATAAACAGTAAATTTTAAACTTCAAATTTAATCTAATAAAAACTAATAAAAGTTATATAGTTTTCAAAAATAGATATATTAAAAATATTTTTGGATATACAGGGTATTGCGTTTTTCCTGGCAAATAAAAATGTATGTTTTTTAGATAGAATACCATGTATTTTATTTTATTTTTAGAATATTTTAGTAATACTGTATTCAATCTTAGAATATTTTTTATAAAATATTACAGTATTGCCAAGCATTAATTTTTTTTGAAATTAGAGAATGATGCAGACCCCAAATTAAATTATCATAATTTAGGTAGGTTTACATTGATCTCAAAATTGTTTAATATACAGACTTATAAGATACGAAGCTAACGAATAGTGGAGATTGAACTGATTTTAAGTTCAATTTACTCAATTTTTTAAAATGCATCATCGTGTATATTATCTTATCATAAAATTCCTAAAAAATTTGTCTATACAACGATACCAATATGTTAGTCAATAACACATATACAGGGTGTCCTATTAGTGCATATTTGATAGATAGCTGTTTTATTATTATAAATACGACGAAATTTTTAATATAAAAGTTGTATGACCATATCTAAAAATTATTCCTAAATATACAGGGTGGTCCATAAACGAGGTGCGAACCAAATCTATACTTTTTAAAAGCAAAACACCCTGCAGGTTGTTACACTAATTTTGTTTTCTCATCGTCAAACAATTTTAATAAAATTAACTTCATTCATTTGTTATGTTGTATAGGGTGTGTCAAAACGTGAAGTTACGATTTTTTTAATTTTGTAAATGGACCCTGTATTAATTAATTGGTGGTATAATATATAGGGTATTCCATTTAAAAAAATAAAAAATAAATCATAGCGTATTAATCAATAATCCTGTATAAAATAATATGAGAGAGTCAAACTGATCGCATACATTTTAGCACTGAGAGAGAAGAATAGAGAGTCGAGAGGATCTACCTTCAATGTTTGTTTTCTAGTTAAACCATGACATAACTAATTGTTTATTGCTATATTTTTGTTAATATAAAAGCAAAAAATATGGGGAAAGCACTGTTACCTTGTTAATTCATAGGCGAAACTTTTATAAAGAATAATTTTTTTCATTTAGGCCTTCGTTTTTCGTCTAATGAGAGGTATATTTCTAAAAAAAGATTTTTTATACCAATTTGTGGACGGTTGAAACCGAGATAATGACGTTTGAGTTTGTTTTCGACCATAAAGGCTAATGCAAATTATTTTTTTTTAAATAATTATAAAAAATATTTCCTACAAAGACCTTATTATGCATTAGAACAAAAAAATAAGCATTTTTTTTTTTCTATATGGTGGTATCAATAACTTGATTTTTTGATAGTGCCCTTTTGCACTGTCTAATTTTGTGTTACCTCCGAAATAAGGGTAAGCTTATCATGTACTGTCACCCCTAAAAAATTCATCTTGTGACACCGAATACCATACCATACAAAAGCCCGTACCTGAGAGTTTAGAAGAATACATTTTTATTCGCAGATGCGAAAATGCAGAACGTATATTTGTTACTTAGTTGCTAATTAGAGGCAGCACCTCTCGGATAACTTTATTTTATCTCTCTCTGGGAGGACTTGTTCAGACTTCTCTGTTCCATTGCACGCCCTTAAGTGTGCCTCTAACACGAATTTTTTGTAAATAAGATTTTCTCCAGTTTACTATTTGTCTTGTTTCCATAACTGCACTTCTTTTATCTATCATTTTGTATTAAAAACTAATTTTTTTAGCCAATTATACAATGTAGACATTTTTGTATATGTATCGAAATAAGTTTAACTTAAGGGTTTATGTATAATATCAAGAGTGGGAATAGTATTTTATCTATAAATTTCATACACTGTATTCACAATGGCTGGATCTAATTTTTTTTCACACCTTTGTCTTTACGAACTTTTTTGCTGGAAATTCCATTTTTTATAATTTGGTTCATTCTATAAACCGATATACCAGTAATAAACGCTGCTTCTTAAACGGTAGAAGTGTTTTCGATATACCCACGGTTTAACAAATTTTTATAAACATTTAAACAAATTTGCTGAGACTGTTCATTTAAAAAGTTTATTTTTTATTTGCGCAGGCACTGCATTAGTTTCTCAATGACTGTTAGATGTACTGGTGCTAGGAATACTATTTCACGGTTTCCACATAGTTAATAACATATACACAAAAATATAAACGAACAATAAAGTTAAAATTACTTACCTCCAAAACACAAACTAATTATTGATATAACAAATCTAAACACTAATAAAACAAAAACTAATATTCTATAAAATTTTAAAAAGTACGATGTAGGAGGTGTTAACCGTACAAAACTCAACAGGTCACTAAGATGAACAAAACTCCACTGAAAGTAAAAATAATTATTTTTATTCAAATACGTCTGATTTTCCTTTTCAGCATTGGTTAAAAATTTCGTAAGTTACTTTTTAAACGGACAAAGACAATATGCTGACAAGACAATATGTCGTCAAAGACAATATACCGACAAAGACAATAGCCGTCAAAGGCGATACACCGCCAAAAACAA